CCCATAACATTGATGAGCTGATCTTCTCTTATGTCACTTGTCATCTACAGTTTTGTAGCTGAATTCATTCTTGACATAGCTGCTGATCCTTTCAATCAATTCACAAGTTCCTAGAGGAAAAGGTGACTGCCTGTCTCGTATTGGTATGCCTCATATGCGCTTTTCTTTTTTTTTTTTTTTGAGATAGAGGTCTGGCTCCGTTGCTTGAGCTAGAGTGCAATGGTGTCAGCCTAGCTCACAGCAACTTCAAACTCCTGGGCTCAAGTAGTCCTTCTGCCCTAGCCTCCCGAGTAGCTGAGACTACAGGCATGTGCCACCATGCCCAGCCAATTTTTTCTATATATATTTTTAGTTGTCCAGATAATTTATTTCTATTTTTAGTAGAGATGGGATCTCACTCTTGCTCAGGCTGGTCTTGAACTCCTGACCTTGAGTGATCCTCCCGCCTTGGCCTCCCAGAGTGTTAGGATTACAGGTGTGAGCCACTGTGCCCGGCCTTCAATTATATTTTTAAAATATGGTAAAAGTATTTTATATTTGCCCACATATTTAGTGATTTTGATGTTATTCATTCCTTTGTGTAGTTCAGTTTTCCAGCTAGTATTATTTTTAATCTACATGGATGCAAGTATTCCTTTAACATTTCTTATAGTAGTGATCTACTAATGATTAATTCTTTCAGCTTTTCAATGTCTGAAAAAGTCTTTATTTTGCCTTTTTTTCTATGACTTTGAGGTATAATTGACATAAAAATAAAGTACTCAATTAAAGCGTATAATTCAACAAAGTTTAGCATGCATTAACATTCACATTCATAACTTATGAAACCATTATCACAATCATAATAATGAACACGTTCATCACCCCAAAAGATTCCTCATGCCCCTTTGCAAACCCTTCCTCTGTCCCCCAACCACAATTCTTAATTTGCTTTTCTGTATTTTCCAGACTTTTATATAAATAGAAATGTGGAGTTCTTTTGTTGTTTGGATTCCGTCACTCACTATAATAATTTTGAGATTCATCTATGTTATTGCATATATCAAAACTGTTTTATTGCTATTACCTTTGTTTTTTGAAAGAAATTATTGTGGTAAAACACATATAACATAAAGTTACCATTTTAAACATTTTCAAGTATTTAAGTCAGTGACATTAAGTACATTCACATGTTATGTAACCATCACCGCTATTTCGAGACTTTATCATCATCCTCAAATCTTTTCTTCTTCAGTGTGTAATTGCTGTTAAACCCATCCATAATATTTTTCATTTCAGACAATGTATTTTTTTTTTTTTCTTTAGAGATAGGGGTCTCTCTCTTGCTCAGGCTGGTCTTGAACTCCTGAGCTCAAGCTATCCTTCCGCCTCAGCTTCCCAAAGTACTAGGATTACAGACTAGGATTACACCGTGCCCGGCCCAGACAATGTATTTTTTAATCATCAGCAGTTTGATTTAGGTCTTTTTTATATCAAATATGTCACATATAAAATCATGTTCATTTTTCTGCTGCCTTCCTGAACATATGGGTATATAGTATTTATGTATTTTTTGAGACAGGGTCTGGCTTTGTCACCCAAGCTCTGGAGTGCAATGGCACGATCATAGCTCGCCGCAGCCCCTTACTTCTGGGCTCAAGAGATCCTCCTACCTCAGCCTCCCAGGTAGCTCGGACTATGGCATGTGACACTGTGCCTGGCTAATTTTTAATATTTTGGTAGTGACAGAGTCTCACTGTGTTTCTCAGACTGGTCTCGAACTCCTGGGCTCAAGTGATCCTCCCTCCTCAGCTTCTCAGAGTTCTGGGATTATAGGCATGAGGCACTATGCCAGGCCATAATATTTATTTTAATGTCCTTGTCTCCTAATCCTATCATCAGTGTCATTTCTGAGT